TTTTGTGTCACATCCTGGTCCTTGAGAAAGCCAGGCAGAGTAATCAAACACAGATCCACAGATTTACGTTTCACTTTTGTAAAGTTTCCCTTCTGTAATTTAACAGAGTTGATGCAATCCACCATAAAAGTGACAAAAACAGTTATTTTATTGCTGTGATTAATTTGACCTATATGTAGAAAATGTTACATTTACATCACATCATGGATCAGTCAGCTGCAGCATCTGATCAATATGAGATCCATGATGTGATGTAAATGTAACATTTTCTACATATAGGTCAAATTAATCACAGCAATAAAATAACTTTGTCTGTTTTTGTCACTTTTACAATGGATTGCATCAACTCTGTTACATACAGAAGGGAACCCACCAAAGTGAAATGTAAATCTGTGGATCTGTGTTTGATTACTTTGCCTGGCTTTCTCAAGGACCAGGATGTGACACAAAAATCTGAATTATGGAACTGAAAGTGAAAGTAGTCAAACTGAAATTTTAATAAACCAACATACAGTTTCAAAGCAAATTAATTCAATCTGAGCAATTCAAATTCRGTTCCTGCTGACACAAGGTTTATCCCGTACTGACCTTTGACCCGGGGAGGCAGTGGGGGAGCAGGGGAAGACGGAGGAGGAGGAGGAGGGCTGGGGGCGGGGCCAGACGATCGGCTGTGAAGGTCCATGGCCATGGCCAGCCTCCTCCCCACGCTGAGAAGACCTCCACCTGGTCCCGCGGAGTGGGGCAGGGCGACGGACGAGGAGGAGGAGGAGGAGGTRGAAGACTGGCTGAAGCTGAAAGGGCGGGAGGAGAAGGAGAAGGAGGGGGTGAAGACGGAGGAGGAGGAGGAGAAGCGCTCCTTCTTCACGGGACCGTTCTGGAAAGTAACGACAGAGAATCACAATTAAATCAGGTCACCAAAAAAAAAAAAAAGAGAGACCCTGTAGTGTGGAGGAAAAGAAAAGGATAAAAAACAAATCAGAGCAGAGAAGTGATGTGAAGTGACGGCTGACTCTGCTCGTTTTGTTCCTGAACAAAAGAGGAAATKAAGTCATTCAGTTCAGCAGGCACTTATTTGCCATGGTTACCTTGTCATCAAAGTCGTCGTCGCTGTCGTACAGATCGTCGTGACGAAGCCTCCACTCGTACTCCACATGGATGTGATGGTCCAACTGGTTGGACTGGACCTGCTGCAGCTGCAGTTACAAAAAAATCCAACCGTTTTTTATAATTATTTAAGTATTAACTTTTTACAATGATGTCTCCTTTGAAATACATTGAGATCTCTGAAATTCCTTCAAGGACATTTTAGTCGCATTAGTTCTATTATTATTATCTTGAGCTACTTTTATCTTTCCACTTAGTCACGTCGGCTGATGCGCGTACAAACTCTCGCAGCAGCTCCGTTGATTTCAATGGTGCTGCGCCAGTCTAGCTTTAAACTTAAAGGGCCAATATTATGTGTTTCTCAGACATACATTTAAATACTATACCATAATAAAGTATCTATGCCACCTTTAGCTTGTTATTAAAATGCTGTTTTTATGTTTAATAGGAAATAAACTTATCTTCTCATCACTTCCTCTTCTAAATATTCTCTTCTTGAAACTGGCCTCTGTCTCTTTAAGAACGACCTTCTGCTTCTGTCTCACCGGGGTTTTCTGGTCCCCACCTGTCGTTATGCTCCTCAGCATGGCTTCCTAAAAACGCTGCAGGATTTCTCAAACATGCATGAATGAGTCAGAGCAAGGCTTTGGGCATGTTTTTTTTTTATGAGAGTATAACATTATAACATGATATAAAACTCAAAAAAGTTGATTTTACATGATATTGCCCCTTTAAATAAATGCAGGATAACAGCAGTGAAGTCCACCAGGAGGACCACAAAACATGGTGCTATATGGTTCTTATAACAGTGACTCAGCATACAGCCATCGTCCYCTCACGGAAGGAGGATTTTTGATCACTTTTCTCAAGCTAAGATGCTAATTCTAACCGCTGGATTCCAGTGATGGGACGAGCTGAATTTGACTGGAAAATAAAGTGCAACCAAGGACATAACGTCTGCGCCAGACATTTTATTGGACATAAAATTCCAACACTGGACCACCCGGATCCTTTCCCTCCACTTTCTGTTACAGTAAACCTTATTGTTTTTACTGTAGCCTACTGGCTTTACTCCTAGCATCTATGCTGGCCTCGTACAGCGATCTACAGCAGCCAGTCCCACATACTGTGATAATATTATTACAGGAATTCTAAACATCACCATTAAGTTTGTTTAAATGATGCAGAAGCGGTGGTTCGAGTGATAAAAATACACACAGACACACAAGATCGATGCTGCAGCAAGCTAAGCTAAATAACACCAACTTTTTTAACAATTCTGCTCGCTTTCCCAGTCTTGACCTCTACCCTCGAGTTCATCTTTCAACTGTAGGGGTACAACGATACAGAAAATTCACGATTCGGTTCGATATTTTAGTCTCACAGTTCGATAATTTTTCCATACATAAAAGAGAAATTTCCATGCCCCTTTTAACTTGTAATTTATTTAAATTAATTATGAACATTTGTTTAACCTCAACAGTTTTTAAATTAAACAGCAAGTTTCTCAGTGGATCTGCGCTCAAAAATGCAGCCTAGGTGGAGTAGTCGAACACAGATCCACTGATCCTTCAACACAGAGCATCTTCAGAAGACAAGCTGATAAAGTAAATTTTAAAAATCTGTATTGTTTGATACAAGTGTGTATTGAACCTAAAGAACTGTTCGATACGGGTACATGTACTGTTGCACCCCTATTCAACTGAACTTTCCTGTGATTCCTGACATTTGATGTGTCGAAATTTGCTCTTTCTGTTACGGTATTAACACCCTCAGTAGAATATAGACTGCCCAATCTTTTGAGCAAGTGGCAGATAATGTTTGCAAATGATATGTCTCCATTAGCTTTCAGCTAGCATTTAGCCCTTTTAGCTAATTTTCTATTTCTTTTACTTTTAACGACTAATTTTCAGTTTCTAAATWTCTTCCATATTCAAAGCTTTTATTGTCTAACATGAATGAACTGATACATAATGGACCTCACCAGCTCCTCACAGTCGCGGTGCTTTAACCGGCGACTCACGTCCAGAGCCGTTTCTCCTAACTCGTTCTCTGCAACACAAACAATTTATTTATCAGCACTCTGCTTTTTTTAAAAAAATCTCTGTTCTGCAACAAGAGAAGTGTCACCTTAAAAAAGTTGGACATTTTTATTTTAATAGAGGGTGAAAGCGGAGATTTGCTGTTTAATCAGGTGAAAGTCAGAGAGGAGGAATGTGTGTGTATGTGTGTGTGTGTGTTTGTGTTACTGATGTGTGTGTTGGCTCGCGCCCTCAGCAGCAGCTTCACGCAGTCACTCTTGTTGTGAAGGCAGCTGTAGTGCAGCGCTGTGTTTCCTGCTGACGTTTGTACGTCCACGTTGGAGCTGGAGGAACAAAAGACTCGAGTGAATTTGTCGCTGACTTGACGCTGACGCACTCTGAGGCGCAACGACTCGAAATCCTCACTGACCAGTTCTGAGCCAGGAAGTCCAGGATGTGCAGCGTCGTCCTGTCAGCCAATAGGACGGCCAAGTGCAGCGCCGTCTCGCCTTTTTCCTGTCGCCGTGAAAACACACAGCTGGTTACATCTTTGGGTTCCTACTAACTACTGTATTATCTGCATTTCTACGCATCGAAACCATAAGTTTCTGAATCCTCTCTGCGTACACCACTGGCTGCGATCAGCTCTCACACCTGTATGTGTGCRTGCAGCGGTTGGCTAAGCTCCGCCCTCTGAGCATACAGCTGGATCAGGCTGTAGATGTCACAGCTCTTGGTCGCCTCCTGCAGGCCGAGTCGCAGCACGGCGGCAGAGCTGCCGCTCCGCCTCACGAAGTGCACGTCCTGGTACTTGGACAGGATGAAGTCTTTGCGCTCCACCCTGAGTGACGCAGCACGTGAGATTTGGATTTTTAAAAAAAAGGTAAATAAATAAATGTACATTTTCCGCTGTAATTAACTCGAGGCGTGTGTCTCACATGTGGCTGTGCTGGGAGGGTTTCTGTGACGGACTCAGCAGATTTGCCTCCAATATCTCATTAAAACCAGAGTTCCCAACATTTCTGGCCAACTGGAGCAGACAGAGAACATTCCGCAAAAACAATYARACATGCAACCATTGTCTTTCATCTGGCAGCAACTGAGAATGTTCCTGTCGCGTCAACATCAGCATCCTGCAGTTAAACAGCTGACTGAACGGACWAAAGGCCCAACTTACCAACAGATCTGAGGTTCCCAAACTGTCCAGGCTCAGAGACTTGATCCTTGAGACATGGACTCCCATCTCCCTGTGGATCCCTGAACATTCAATACAGGTCAGGATGCCCAGATTTGTTGAAAGCCATCCAGGATCTACAGAGAGAGAACGTGAGGATTTCCTGTAGAGTTCTCAGATTTAAAAACCACAAAGAAACAAACATTTGACCTGAAATAATTGAGCAGCAGAAAAAAAATGAAAGTCATGATTTACTTAGTGAAAACTTGTAGAACTGTGAGTAGAAATATTTTTACTACTGTATATATATTTTTATTGTTTAACAAGATATTAACTGTTTGAACGCTGAGTCACCATTTTTTTCTGTTTATAGTTTCTTCTGTGTTTTTTAACTTTAAATACTTTCGTACATCTTTCAGCTAGTTTATTTTTTTTAATTTATCAGCTTTTATACTTTTTAGATTTTTTTTGACTTAATCACATTTTTCCTTATTTAGATGAATAAGGAACATTTCACACCCTTGAAAAACTGCTTTTTAAACTGTTCTTCAGCATAGTAGCTTTCAGACACTGTTAATTTTATCTTTTAGGTATTATTTTGTTTTTTTTTTTTTTTTTCATTTTAGCTACAGTTTTATTAACCTTAGCATTTAGCTTTTGTTGTGCTAAATTTATTTTGATTTGCTAATTTTAGGATTCTGTTTTAAAGCTTTTAATTTTAGTTTGGTTAAATTTGGATTGGTTGATTGATTGATAGATAGATAGATAGATAGATAGATAGATAGATAGATAGATAGATAGATAGATAGATAGATAGATA